GTCTTCTCAAATTGTGCAGAGTTGTATTTAATCTACCTTAATAATGACATGAGATGCTCTGAAGATCAAAGTGTGTACGTGGGGGGTGGGAGTTTGCCATTTGTGCCCTGGTTTGGGCTTCACACTCACTGGGCTTCCTTCATTGGTCAGGTTTGCAAGCCCCGCCTCCGCTTGCTCACCTTCTGTTCCGCCACAGTAGTTTGTTTTTTTCCCTAACCTAAAGAGCGCTGTGTTGTTAGCTGTATGTTATTTTTAGACGCCACGATAACCCTGCTATGTTGCCTTCACCCTAAACAAGTAGGTTGTGGTGCCTCAAATATATTATGAGCCCAAGATAACGTGCTGCGCTTAATCTAGCTGCCTTTCCTGGCACTAAAAAAAAAAATCCCGCAACCAGTAGGATTAAATGGAAATCTTTGTAGCTAGGTAATGACCATTATTGCCGTAGTAAACTAGGAGGGTCAGGATATCCCTACACATACACACACACACCCTCTTTCTGTTTGGGGCTGTATTTCAGTTTGGCTGGAGACAAGAAGGCAGGCAGTGGAAAATCCAGAGTCGCCGTTTGCTATCGCAGCCATGTTAAAATGCTGAATCCTTTTCTCCTCGTTCTTCCATGAATGTGGAAGAGTCTGGCCTTTGTCATCCCTACCTGTCCCGAAGTGCTTCATTCCATGAGCATCATCGAGCTTTGTAAAAGACTCCCTGCCTGCCCCCGCTTTGAGCTTTTAAAAACTCACTGGCTTTCCTGCTTTTATCAGTGTTCCATTCTGCGCCTGTGCTCCCCCCCACCTCTTTCCCCCCCCCTTTGATCTCCCCGAGCATTTGCGGCCCTGTTCGGATAAAAATAGCTCCTTCAATATACGTGGCACCTACAAGGTAATGTAAGAAACAGAGTGAGGCCTCAGCTTAACCATCTGAAATTTGATATGGAGATGCCGGGAATTGAACCTGGGACCTTCTGCATGCCAAGCATCTGCTCTCCCACCAGGGAGAAGGAAGGACTCCCAGCCGGCAAGGTCTCTAGCAATAGACAAGGGCTCCTAGAGCTTTAGGAGCGCCCCACTGTTAGCTTATCAAAGAGGTAGGATACTTCCCAGCAGTCACATACTTAGGCTTACAGTTGAGGTATGGGGGATGAGGGGGGAAAGCCCACGGGTTCTCAGGTTTTGACCTAGGGTTTGGAGAAGAAGGGAAGTGCCACCACAGAAGTCCACAGGGATACCAGGCATAAAGGGCAGGAAGAGACTGTCCTCGAATGCTTCCCTCTTGCGAAACGAACTGACCCTAGAAAATTGGCACTACCCATGCTCCCTCTCAGATGGGGAGGTCTTGTGAGCAAAAATCCTACTTTTTGAGCTACTGACATTAAAGTTGTGAGCGAGCGATTTGTCTGCTGCACAAATTAGTTTGATCTGGAGCCATCTTTGAGCTCAGACAAAAATCTGTGAGCTGGAGGCTAAAAAACTGTGAGCACGCTAACCCAGCTGAGAGGGAACACTGGGCACTACCATGTATATCTGTTTTGGAATGGCGTGGAAACCAGCCCTTCCCGGTGTCTGGTACCCCCCGGCTGCCATTTTGGTCTCTCTGACTTAGCCTATCTAAGTGCCCTTCACCTAGTATCATAAGTGCCCTTCACCTGGTCCTCCACACAAGTCCTTTCCTAATCCAAGGCCTCCCAAAGAGCGTTCCGATTCGGCCTGCAGGCTTTTTTCCTCACTGCTTCAGATCTGCCTCTCTCTGCCACTTGAACCAATTCAGGCAGGTAGTCATTACGCAGAGGTTATAAAGGGTGCTTTAGAAAAGCAGGAGATGTTAAGAGCATTGAGGATTCTTGTCGACATGTCATGACTTCCAGAGGAGAAACCCACGTCCTGTAACGGTGAGGATTAAAAAACTATTTTTCAAAAAAATATATATTCAATGGTACAGGTTTAATTAACGAAATCTGTTATGGACGAGACCCACAAAGCGTGTGAAGAGGCACCTTTTGCTTCTGGGATAAAAGTCAAACCTTTGGCTGGAGATCAGAGGGACTCCGATTTCGATCAGTCATGAAGCTGAGCTTCTCTCTCCCTGCCGCATGACTGGCCTGTTTTCACAGCGAGTGACTCACAATTTTCTTGCTAATGGATCTCGCTGCACTTTTCAGGAACGCAGCTGAAAACCATTTGCTGGGGACTGCTTTTTTTTGTTGTCGTTTGAAGTGAGGTTGCCTATGTTGTGTTCTACAGTGTCTCGCGCCAGAAGCAGCGGTCCCCTCTGCCCTGCGTGTTTGTCGTCGTCGGACGTTTAGCCGTGTATTCTGTCTGCATGAGGTGGACTTAACGTTGTGGCTGTCATTTGATCAAGCCCCAGTGAATTGTGACTGTCCAGATGCAGACTGTCCAACAAACTGTGGGGCTGCCATAAGAGGACATAAGAGAAGTGATGTTGGATAAGGCCAGTGGCTCATCCAGTCCAACACTCTGTGCCACACAGTGGCCAAAGCCCAGGGGCCATCAGGTGGTTCGCCAGTGGGGCCAGAGCTCCAGAAGCCCTCCCACTCTTGCCCCTCCAAGCACCAACAATACAGAGCATCACTGCCCCAGGCAGACCTTGTGGCTATTGCCACTGATGGACCTCTGCTCCACATGTTTATCCAGTCCCCTCTTGAAGCTGTCTATGCTTGTAAGAATATAAGAGAAGCCAGTGTTTGATCAGGCCAGTGGCCCATCCAGTCCAACACTCTGTCACACAGTGGCCAAAAATACCAGGTGCCATCAGGAGGCCCAGCAGTGGGGCCAGGACACTAGAAGCCCTCCCACTGTTGCCCCCCCCCCAAGCACCAAGAATACAGATCATCACTTGCCCCAACCTGAGAGTTCCTATCTATTCCTTGTGGCCAATAGCCACTGATGGACCTCTGCTCCATATGCTTATCTAATTCCCTCTTGAAGCCGTCCATGCTTGTAGCTGCCACCACTTCCTGCGGCAGCGAATTCCACGTGTTCATTACTCTTTGGGCGAAGAAGTATTTCCTTTTATCCGTTCTCCTTGATTCCATTGAGTGCCCATGAGTTCTTGTGTCATGAGAAAGGGGAGAAAAGGACTTACTTATCTCCCTTCTCTATTCCATACATAATTTCACCTGGCTCCAAACCAGGATTTGAAAACGCAGCCCGTAGCTGGTTTGCGCTAACCGTGGTTTGCTGCATCGTGTGAATTCACAGGCTGTGGTTTGTCGTGTAGTGCTGCCCTTTGCCCTGGGCACTGAAATTCAGTTGGGGGAAGGATGTCTTCCCTGCTGGAGGCAGAAAGGAAAGGAGACACAGGCATGCTGGAATGTATGTGCAATCTGGACACACACACACCCCGGTAGAGTAATCGGAGTTTGCTGCACTGGAGCAAACTGGTTTAATCATGGCGGCATCCGAAAGCCTGTGGTCGCCACTCATCATCATCTCCTCGGAACCACATGTTGCAAAGCATGCTACCATCCAAAGCCTCAGCCCTGCGTTTTCTCCTCCAGCCTCTCCCCCCCCCCCGTGTCTTCTCTTGCAAAATATGTGATGCGACAGCATTGTTGTGGCCGTCCACTCAGCTTTACGGGCTGTCACTTGCGGGAGAAAGGAGATTTTGTAATGCAGCGTTTGCTGAGGTTGGGGGTGTTTGTAACAGCAAGCATCATGGGACAAAATGAGTTGTCTCTTGTTTGAGGGATAGGCCAGAACTAGAAATTACAGAGCATGCGTGACTTAAATTTTCTGTTTCGGGATTCTGACGAAGTGTTGACCAAGCAAGCATTTTATGAGCTGGTATGATATGATGTGATGCCAACCTAGCAGTTCGAAAGCAAGAAATTGCAAGTAGGTAAATAGGTACCACTTCAGTGGGAAGGTAACAGCGTTCCGTGCACCTTGGTGTTTAGTCATGCCGGCCACATGACCACGGAAACGTCTTCGGACAGCACTGGCTCTTCGGCTTTGAAACGGAGATGAGCACCGCAACCCTAGAGTCGGACTCGACTGGCTTTCAAGCAAGGGAACTTTTACCCTTGTTTATGATGTGATGTAGTGATTAGAGTGCTGGGCTAGGATTTTGGGGGGGGGCTGAGTTCAAATCCTTCCTTCATTGTAAACACTCTCCCTCTCTCTCCAGAACCCTACCTCGCAGGGTTGTTGGGAGGATAATATGAGGGAGAACCTTGAGAAGCCAGTGTGTTCTAGTGGTTAGTGTGTGGCTAGTGTCTGGGAGACCCAGGTTCAGATTCCTACTCTGTCATGCAAGCTTGCTGATGACCTTGGGCCAGTCACACGCTCAGCCTAACCTACCTCGCAGGGCTTTTGTGAGGGTAAAATGGGGGAGAAAAGATGTAAGCCATTTTGCATCTGTCTTGGGGAGAAAAGGGTATAAAGGAAGTAAAAATAAATAAAACGTTCCAAAACAGTTTCTGTAATGCCTGCATTTAGATACTACTTAAGGAAGAGAAGCAATTGCTCTTAGTGTCAGGACGAAACAGTTGACCCCCCAAATGTTTCTGTAATGCCTGCAGATAGATACTACTTAAGGAAAGAGAAGCAATTGCTCTTAGTGTCAGGACCTCAAGTTTTTGTCTTTTTTTTTTTTTAATCCCTCTGTTTTATACTGGTTTAAAGCCTGTACCGTTCCGTCATCACTCATCCTTCTGGCCTCACAAACTCAGGGCGATGGTTTTGAGCGCTCTCCAAACCAGCTGCTGGGTCAGCCTTTCCTTTGGTCTGAGCCCTTTGCAGATGGCAACCAACCCAGCTGCGGGTCCTCCGTTGCAAGGTCCTCGGGCGACTTCAGTTTCCTTCCGAGGCTGGCCTGCATCCACCTTTCTCTTGCCTCCACCCCCTTCTTAATCCCTCTGCCTGGGAGCCAGTTTGGTGTAGTGGTGAGGAGTGTGGACTCTGATCTGGGAGAGCCGGGTTTGATTCCCCGCTCCTCCACATGCAGCTGCTGGTGTGACCTTGGGTCAGTCACAAGTTCTCTCAGGGCTGTTTTTTCAAGAGCAGTCCTCGAAAGAGCTCTCTCAGCCCCACCTACCTCACGGGGTGTCTGTTGTGGG